TTTTTTTCCAAACTTACGTGACCTTTAAAAACTAAAACAATTTGTGAATATTTTGTAGAATTCCTGTTCTGGACACAAAAACAACATTAAGTGTACTTCCCACATGTAGTACATTTCACTAAGAAAGCCTGAAAGAACTGTAGATGTTAGGTCTACATAAGAAAAGGCATAAGATAGAAGACAAAAAGAGCTGTTTTCAAATATTTAGAGAGATATAAAGTGAAAAAAAATGATTCCTTTTGAGTGTTTTCAGAGTATAAAATTAGGATAAATGGGGTAAGTTATTGCCAGACAGGTTATACTTAATATAAAGAAGATGTTTAGTTTTTTAAAAATGTATTTGGTTGTTGTAGGGTCACTCTACACAGCTATCCCTTAATGTCACATGTTAGTAATCTCAGTAGTCTGGAAGGCTGGGCCTGGAGGATCAAAACCTCAAGCCAAACCTGGAAAATTTGGCAACTTTAATGAGACTCTGTTTCAAAATCAGAACTAAAAAGATGGGTTGGAAATGTACCTCAGTGAGAACACTATGAGTTCAATTCGCAGCACTTAAAAGAAAATAATATTTTTACAGTGAAAAGCTGCAAATTGGTCTGATAAAACTCTCTGACACTTCAAGTGTTTAAGTAGGGACAGAATAATTCTGTCATTGTATGAAAGAATGGACTAAATGACCAGTTCAGCTCAAAGATATTACGATTATAGGACTTTAGGCTGAGGATATGTATAGTCAGCTTTCTGTTAATGTGATAAAATATCTGTCAGACTTTTTTTTGTATTGGGGATTGAACTCAGGACCTTGAACTTTCCGGGTAGGTGCTTAAGCCATTGAGCTATCTCCCCAGCCTAAAATTATGTTTAGGTCAGACTTTTTTTTGTATGTGACAAAATATCTGAGGAAAACAATTTAACGAAGGAGGGTCTATTCTGGCTCATGGTTTCTGCCCATGGTCTGCCTGATGCTTTGTTTCTGTGCCTGTGATGTTGCAGAAAGATGTGGTGAAGGAAAATTACTCACCTGATTGTAGATACTCGGTGGTATCTTGAGTACCCCAGGGAGAAACTGTGGTAGGGATGAGGAAAAGATAGACAAGAGAGACAAGAGCTGGGTCAGGTGGAGGCCTGTTTGCCTGACTGGCAAAAGACCCTAAAAACAACAGCAGGGGTGTTTATTTATTTGCAAAGTTAGTATCAGAAGACACAAGGTTGTCTAGCAACTAAGAACTGAAATTGTCCAGGCAGGATGTTTTTCTCAAGACTGAGGCAGCTTGACTGCTTTAGGCACTGAGGCTTTGTCCTGCCTGCCCACATATGATCAGTTTCCAGCTTCAGCCACACCCAGAATGTGATGTCATTTGGAAGCGGGGCATGAGGGGAGTGAGAGAGGTGAAACTATGAATGGAGAGAAATATTTATCAGAGACAGGGAGAGAGAGAGAGAGAGAGAGAGAGAGAGAGAGAGAGAGAGAGAGAGAGAGAAT